ACTTTTTGATATATTATTTTAGATATTCGTAATTTTTGTCAAAATTTCTGAGTTATCTCACAACTGATAAGAATTTAACTGCATTATCATTTTTTCAAAATTCATTGTTATTAAGATTTTTTTTTTTTTAGTTAAGTATTTTTCTTAACAAGCTTTAATTATATTTAAATTATGGAAATGATAAGCTTTATCCTTTTTTGCGACCATAATTCATTATTCTCTGTATTTTCTTGATATTTGGGACTCATAATTTAAAGATGTTTTGTTTCGCGTAAGATGCTTTTTAAACAAGAATACCCTACTTAATAAGGTTTATTAAATCATGGAGTAAGACGATTTAAATGCATGTCAACTAACTTTAAATACGTAGTATAGTTACGAAAGACAGGTCAGTTTTCTTTTTGTGACACACACACGCGCGCTCACGCGCTCACACGTATTTATATATCTAGAATATACGCAGCAAACAATTGACTTAACTATAAGCCCAAAATGAACATTAGTCTAAAAATTCATCCATTGCCAAAACTACACGCAATATAGTATAAATACTAAAATTCGATGTCAACAGTGGCGACATCGGAAATTATAAAGTATAATCGTACAGTCCATACATTGATAGTCTTGATGTAGCATCACTGTTTATAATTCTAGCTGTAAGAAAAATTTACATCTAAATCTCGAAATAAATATTTTAGGTATGTACTGCTCATTTTCACAGTTAACAATACGGGTAAGCGTACCAGGTTAGTATAAGTCACGGCATAATCGAACAGCGCATATCCAACATATTTATTTCGAGATTTGGGATGTAAATTTTTGTTACATCTAAAATTAATAAGTTTAGTGGTGCTACATTAGGACTATTGATGTATGCAGTGTCTACTTCAAGATGCTTGATATCACCAATATTTACATCAGATTTCAGTGTGTGTACTATCTGGCGTATAGATATAAGATAATTACTAAGACAAAAGTATTGAGTTCTAAAAGAATCATTTGAGCCGTGTGACACTAAAACGTATATATCTACAAGACGACTGGTTAAATATTACTGGCTCTACAAAATCCTGTTAATTTTAAATAATCTTAATAACAGATCGCAATAATTTGATTTCAGTATGTAACTAAAACTCAAAGAAGTTTTACAACTAACGTATTTGCTAAAAATATATATTTTAATAAATTTTATTTAGATAAATCAGTAACTTACCTACGAAGACATCAATCTCTTTAATGCATGTATTTAATTTATCCAGCGAGTGAAGTATAACTTGCAACCATTTTTGATTATCTTCTTCGTCTGCATTTAAGCTAAGGAAGTCTAAATAATAATGCCATGCTTCATTCAGACAAATTTCCGCCCATACGAAGCAATCCTACAAAATAATCTTTTTTAAAACGAAAATAAATATATTATTGTGCATCTTAGTTTACTGGGAACTTTTGAACATGAAAACCAATAAACGTCTCAAAGAAAGACATTTATTATCCAATAATGAGTATAATTATTCTATGTATTACTAATGTTTTTGCGTACTTAGGTAATTGTAAGCCAATAATTCAACAGAAGAATATTTAATGTCATAATTATTGTTAGTGTAGCTAATATTATGAATTCAGATGATAAGTTGTGTTGATCTGATCATTTATAAATTAATTAAAAGCATACTAAGAAATACAAAAACGTTAAAAGGTAATGCTAGTGTGTTAGGTAGACATGTAAAATCTACTAAGGCAAATCTAAAAAACCATGTAATATCAAATTTTTTATAAAGAATTTCATCGAAATAATTACGATCAATAAGTACATGTAGCGTTTCTCAAAATAGTCTTTTTGACCTTATTATTCTCAACGTCCAGAATTTTTATGTCAATGAAATTAAAAAGTTGTACCATAGTTTTTATGTCAAACTCATTCCAACTTAATGTTTGAGTATGTAAAATCTTTACAGATCTAAATTCAGGTTTTTAAATAAGAAGAAAATATATTTGTATTTATGTGGCAATAAAAAATGTAGAGATTAAGCTCCAGGACTTTGTTGCTCTGGTAATAAAGTTGAGAGATAAGAGAAAAAAAATTTTTTTAATACATATTTTTGGGAGTTTAAAATCTTAACATCTTGAAAAAAAGCCCTTTCCGTAAATTACACGGGAGAAACTGCAAATCAACCACTGCTTATGGCCAACGATTACTTCATGGCATAAGGAACGCACGGTATTTTTCAGCATAGTTATATTTTTTTTAATTCTTACAGCTTATTATTTGACCAAATAAACTATAAGGTTTGCGAACAAATATGTTTTTAGTAAGAACATTTTTGTTCTGAGAAGTGTCACGAATAAATGTAAAATTTTTAACTGGAAACGTTTCACATTACATGTCAACACACTACGGTGTTCCATTGAGTAAGTCTCGGGCGAAGCCGAGACGGGGGGGGGGGGGCACTAGTTTACGTTTTAAGAGTAAAAAAATCTTATATCTAACCTTTTTCCACGAAAATATTGTGGGGGCGGTGTGAGGTTAAAAACAAATTGGTGAGGTAAAGAAAATATGTAGTGAGGCTGTTGGGGGTCTGAAAAAAGTGAGCTAAGCTGAAATAAGGGAGAAAACGACGGAGTTTTACCTTACTATAAGGAGGAGGGTCAATGCGGGCCTGTGGTAGGTTTGTATGGAATTCCCTACACAAACAACTATACAATTTAGGAATACATGTACATACTTACAGTACCTCGTACTATCCACAATTCTACAAGCTACTGCTAAAAAGCTAAAAAATGGAAAATATAGAACCTAACCAACTACACACATTGTAGAGGGTATCATGCTGAAAACTTTCAATAATCGATTTTTTTCTACACTTGACAAGCTGGAATTAATTAGGTGGTGATGCGTTCAAACGTATTTTTAGGCATCTTAACTGGTTAGACCATGTATACAGTCTTTTGGTTTAGAGTGCAATAAATAAGTATCTGCAAAAAATTATTTTTTTATACATAGGTATCGTATAGGTACATTCATTTAAGTTTTTTTTATACAACTAGCAACCACAAAGCCAGGATAAAAGGACTTAGCACTATATTAATCAGTGCCTTACCAAGAGTACTAACTTACGACTACTTTAAGTCGTTAAAATTACTTGTAAAAATTTCGGAGCATGGGGTACATGATAAGCTTATTACANAAGTTTTTTTTATACAACTAGCAACCACAAAGCCAGGATAAAAGGACTTAGCACTATATTAATCAGTGCCTTACCAAGAGTACTAACTTACGACTACTTTAAGTCGTTAAAATTACTTGTAAAAATTTCGGAGCATGGGGTACATGATAAGCTTATTACAATTCAAATAATTTAAATAAAACCATAAAATTAGTTTTTAAGTTTTAATCTATGTTTTATAAAAAAGATTATGATATAATATGCAGTATACATCTAAACTTTATCTCAACACGCACAAAACCAGGAGTTTTTTTTTTCTTTTAGATTAGTTTGAAGGTCTAGAGCTCACGACTACTCAAGTTTGATCGGCTAGAAAGCTAGCAGGCTTACTACTTAGCTATCCAAGCTTTTAGTAATTAATGATAAGAATAATAA